TTCTCGCTGATTATGAAGTGTACAACATCAAGAATTTCAAATGGGGATGATCCCACCTCATTTGAAGAAGCCATGAAAAGTGATCATTCATCAAAGTGGCTTGAGGCCATGGAAGATGAGATGAGATCAATGAATGCAAATAAAGTTTGGGATTTAGAGATAATTCCTAAAGGAGCCAAAACAAGAGGGTCAGTAAATGGGTCTACAAAACAAAACTTGACTCTCAAGGGAATATAGAAAGATATAAAGCCCGACTTGTGGCAAAAGGCTTTACACAAAGAGAAGGATTGATTGATTACAATGAGACTTTTTCTCCGGCCTCGTGTAAGGATTCCTTCGTAATCATAATGGCATTAGTGGCACATTACGATTTGGAATTACATCGATGGATGTAAAGACGGCATTTCTCAACGGAGACTTAGAGAAAAATGTTTACATGGCACAACCGAAAGGTTTTGTCATGGAGAAAAAAGAACGTTTGGGATGCCGCCTAAAGAAATCTATTTATGGATTAAAACAAGCTTCAAGACAAAGTGGTACTTGAAGTTTGATCGCATAATAAAGAATTTTGGGTTTAAAGATAATGTTGAGGACAATTGTGTCTCACGCAAAGTTTAAGAATGGGAAGTTTATCTTCCTTGTCCTGTATGTGGATGATATCTTACTTGCAAGTAGTGATGTGGGTCTACTCATCGGAAACAAAGAAGTTTTTGTCCTCAAAATTTGATATGAAAGATCTTGGTGAAGCTTCGTTCGTTCTAGGGATCGAGATTCACCGAGATAGAAGTAAAGGGTATTAGGACTGTCACAAAAGGCATACATAGAAAAGTCTTAAAGAAATTCAAGATATGCACAAATGTAGTCCCTCACCGCTCCTATAGTCAAGGGCTTACAGATATGGGGATTTTCAATGCCCCAGAACCAATATGAGATCGATCAAATGAAAGTGGTTCCATATGCTTCAAATTTGTCGGAAGCTTGCAATATGCTCAAGTGTACGCTACGACTTGGTATTTGTTACCGGGTTATTTGGCGATTCGAGCAATCTCGAATAGAACACTCGAAATTGGTAAAGAAAGTCTTGCGTTATTTGCAAGGAACGAAAGGCCTCATGATGACATATAGAAGATCCGATTCACTCCATATAGTGGGATATTCAGATTCGATTATGCGGGAGATAATAGAAAATCCACGCCCTGGATATGTGTTCACTCTCGCAGGGGAGCTATTTCATGGAAAAGCTCAAAGCAAACCGTCACTACATCGTCCACAATGTATGCCGAAGTTTGTAGCGTGTTATGAGGCAACAGGGTGAGGCGGCTAAAGAAGTTCATACCCGGGTTTGAAGGTGGTTGACGACATCAATAGACCATGAAGTTATACTGCGATAATAATCCAAAGAAGAGAAAGTATGCTCACAACAATAGGTCAAGTGGTGTTGTCAAACACATTGACATAAAGTATTATGTTGTGAAGGATAAAGTCCGGGATCAAATGATAAGTCTTGAGCATATAAGTACCGAAAAGATGCTCATGGATCCGCTTACAAAAGGCTTACCACCCAACGTGTTCAGAGAACATGTAGCCGGCATGGGTTTAAGGAAAGCCTATGATTCCCGGATTATAAAGGCCCCAAAGTTAAAGTAACTATTTCAGATCGTAGACGTGCATTGTAGTCATTAAATCTATCGGCGATTGACCGTGACGATGAGACATGCTCTATGCATCATCTCGTGAAGAAATGAGTAAGGATAAAAGGATTGAAGTTTAAAGTTTAAAGATAAAAGTAATGGTGAGATCAAGGGGGGAAATGTTAGATTGATCTTCTAACCAATAAGCCCAACGGCTTATTGGGCCTTAATCACAGCATACGATCGGGGCGCCCAACCCTACATGGTTGGTGGGCCCCGTCGACCGCTGCGCTATATAAAGAGGTGGGGCCGGTGGCTCAAAGCACGAGGTTCGCCGTGAGCCGCAAACCCACCGACAAACCCTAGACCGATCTAAGAGGGCTGCCACAGCCGACGGAAGTTTCGGCCGATCCTCGCCGCCGTCATCGCTACGCCACGACCGACCGACTTTGCATCGACGTCCGCAAGAACCTCTACTCCACCTGTCGCTGCCTGGTGTCTTGCCTCCATCACCGAACCAATGATGGCCAAAGACAAGCTGCGACTTCATCTGAAGGCTCAGGTTCATCACCAGCCCCTCTCTACCCTATCTCCCTCTCGGTGTAGTGTTCTAGGTCTAAATGTGCATGTGCTTCACTGGTCTAAGTATTCATCCGTCTAGATCTACCCTAGTCGATCCACAGAACATAACAGTATGGAGTATTAAATATAGACTAATTATGAAACTAATTGCACAACTTGCGACTAATTTGCGAGACGAATCTTTTAAGCCTAATTAGTCCATGATTTGACAACGCGGTGCTACAGTAAACATGTGCTAATGATAGATTAATTAGGCTTAAAAAATTCGTCTCGAAAATTAACCTTCATCTATGTAATTGGTTTTGTAATTAATTTATACTTAATGCTTCTTATTAACCTCTAAACATTTGATGGGACATAAATTTTAGAAGCGACTAAAGAACCAAACAGCCCCTTGTAGTGCCCGTATGCTGCTCCTTCCTGCCTCCTGGTTTCTCTGTCGCCAAAAAGGATGCAGAGTATGCATGCCACTGTCTGATATTCTGCTCCCTATTTTAAAAACAACGCAATCCTATAGTTTTGAACCTGGAGACGTGGAGCGACGGAGCACGGCACAAAATTAAGGGGGGCTAACTCGATAAAAACACAAGTGAAATATGTTGACATCAGAAATAAAATCATATATACTATGATAAATTTAACTAATCGCATATCAAATGACTACAGAGACTGTCAGATTACTCTTAACGAAGTTATGGACTAAAACTAGTTATATATATTTATAGTTGGGTCACATTTCACAAAATGCAAGTGACCACAAACCATATTTGAGAATTTTGCTTTGGACAAGGGGGGGCCGAAGCCCAATTTGGCCCCCACTGTGCTCCGTCCGTGGGAGGGAGTAACTCATATCACAGCACGAGGATTCAGGATGTCCGTGAGTCACTTCAATAAAACTGCTAACAACTCCTGACATGTCAAATAGTAGGTAAACTGAGTCGTATCATGATTTCAAGTTCACGTCCAGATTTGTTCCTTTTCGTATTTTCACATATTCTGTTTTTACTCTTGTTCCTAACTATCCCGGTACCGGTCCTCGGTGATCAAATGCAGAAACAAGAATGAGCAGTTTTATGCATGTTTCTGTATGTTTTCATCCGTAATCTCAACTTAACTAATAACATATGATATATTACAAAAAGTCACTTTTGTCATTCTATCTACTTCTATCCATATGTCCTACCAATAACAAATAGATGAATGGTATTATAAACAAAACCACCAATACATCCACCTCTTAGTGGATCCAAACAGAACCAAACTAATAGGTAGTCAAATAATAGTTAGTAAGTCAATATTAACTATAGATTATTAGTTTCTAGTGCATTCAAATAGGGCCTAAGTCAATTGTTCTACATCATGACTACAAAATACCTCTCTTTTGTGTAATCAACCTAAATGTTTAAAGTGATTCTAGTATGGTTGTCTTGAAAGATACTTTCCTAAAGTGTATATCTTTTATAAGTTTATAGATAATATAATAATATAAAAAGCCAGTAGTTAAACTTTAAAATAGTTGACTTTAGACAACATTGAGACCTCGCTTATCTGTGACCCAGAAGTGTATCCATGTTTGTCCATTAATTACTCCATCCATCCAAAAAAAGACTTAACATTAGGATTTATTAAATTTCCTACAAAAACATGCTATTCTAAGATTTACTTCATTTGCCTAAAACAAACATACATCTCGCTTCTGGTGAAGTCAACCAATCTAAAATTTGACTGAATTTATAAAACATAGCTTTAACATTTGTATCTCTAAATAGGTTTACTAGAAAAACATATGGTGTGATTAATCAATAATGTTTATTTGATATCACAAACATTAGTATTCTTTTATATATGTGGTGCTTTGCCCTGTTGATTATCCTTTGTTAATCCAAAGGATATGATGGAACTTGGACCAATGGAGCTGCCAACCATATGCAGGGTGCCGATGCGCGATGCCTCTTGTGTTTAATCAACTGCTGAAATGCGAATTAGCTCGGGGAAAAGACATTGAAAAGTTGCAACTTGAGCACTAAAGATATATTATATTATACTCCCCATCAGGCATGTACTACCAAGTACCAAGTCAACGGTATATAAAAGGCATGCCTATATAAAAACAGGCGAACAATGATGATCCCACAGAAGGTTCCTTTCATCCAATCTTTTTAGTAACCTCATTTCCACATGTCTAAACTAAAAAACAGGATGACCCAGATTCACATCCGATGCTTGGTCGTGTTTGCTTAACGTCTAATGCAGGACCCTACAAACCAAAAGAAGGTTCCACCAGAGTGCACAGCAAGTTACCAGCCAAGGTGAAATTCAGTAGCGCCATCACGCTATAAGACAGCACATACTGATATAGTACACGCCAACATATTGAAACCTACTCCGTACGTTATTCAAGTCAACAGATTCAAAGTAGAAAACACAGAGAGGAACTGTATCTATCAGCACCAGAAATATATTTGAATACATTTAAACTTCCAGTATGCGAGTACAAAGAAGCTACAGATCCTATTTGTCAGGCATGTCTCCTCTATAATGTTACTGTAAGTTTATTTGTCCCCTCTATTTTGTAGCATCAGGGGGGGGAAATAGGAAGCCATCACAAAATGAGCCAAAAAAGGGTAATAATGTCAGTTTCCTGTCAGCAAATAGTTGTGGACTCGGTCCTTGGATCTTGAGATGAGCGCTTGGTTCACAATGGACGATGACCGTGGTTTCCACAATGCATCGAAAATAACCAGGTCTAACAGCGGAAAAGGTAATATGTACACTATTCACCAATTATTATCCCCACCAGTCTGGAATTTTTAGTCGTCTATTCCTGTGAATAGCAAGGTTAACTGCAGGGATTTTGTGCCTCACCTGCCTCCATATCATGTTCACCGCATCACCCTTCCTGGGGGGATACTGGAATTCATAATGATGAGAGATATTTTTAAGCTTCAACCACATATCAACCCACTTCTTTTTGGGGATCTGTCTGAGCTGGTTCAGCAAGTAATCAGGTCTTAGAGCTTCTTCAACTGAGAAGAAAAGGGAGAACTCACTGTAATCAATCTCATCTTCAAAAGGGAGCTCAATGCGACTGCTGACTATCACAGGAACACAATGACTGACTATGGCATCAAACAGGCGGCATGAGGAAGGAGTGTCCCCAGCAGGGTGAAGACAGAACTTTGCCGACCTCATACCTTCTGTAGACTGTTAGGATCAAACAGATTTGTAAGTTCCATGCTCTCTTATAAACAAGCCTTAATAGAAAAATGTTAATATCACTAAGGAAAGGAGAGTAGAAATGAGAAAATTGACTTACTATTTTAATGTCACGCCCGTGGCAATGCTATTCTCAAAGCGCACCCTTCCTTGCCTTTTAATATCTTCCCAAGTTTTGCCCGGATCTTCCCTTCCTGAAAAAATAAAATGAATGCTATAAACAAATTTAACCTTAAAGTTTTTTAATGCCTAGTCAAATTCCACTAAGGAGAAAAAAGAGTGGACTAAACTAGCAAATTAAAACAGATCACAGAGAAGGGCAGAGGGAGTTATTACAATCATAAATCAGTTCCATACATCTTTCCTGACAGTACGGCCGAAAAAGAAAAGCAGTGTATGACGAGCCTCAAATGGATCAGGTGGATCGTCATCAAGGAAGGAATCCACAACATGCACATATGGTGCCACAACATCTTTCCTCAGGGAAGCCAGCTCCTTTGTGTATCTCCCAAAGTCTGAAACTATTAGAATAGATGCATTCACCATTGCTCTTGGGAATCTGAAAGCATTAGGGTGATGCATAGGAATGACATGGTCACGCCCCAGACCGTTGCCAATGTTTAGACTTCCGTAGAATGTCCACAATTTCAACCTGCAAGAAAACAATAGCAAGATAAGTACAAAACAGTACATTTTCACAATATTTTCCTAATGTTAAAATGGACTAGGACATTAGTATATTTTCACAAGGAAGGACACTGGATAATAGTGCCAATCCTGATTAACGAATAAACTCTAGAGGAGTATAGCAGACTATATTTATTTTATTTCTTACCATACATGCCTAGTGTTATGTGTTAGCTAAACAAACTTGGCACAGTGACATGGCAAAAATAAAAATTAGGTGACAAGAAAGTAGTGATATCTTCTTGGAATAAACTTTCTTTGCCTCAAGCACAAATTGCATTGTCAAATAGATCAAAAGGAAGCACCAGGGCATGGATTAAAAGTGTCTGTTCTCAGTGATGTTGAACAGTGGAACTCTTAGCTACTGCCTGTTCTGTTATCCTCGTAAAACTCTCTAAAACACCATCACAGCATGATTGGCACCTATAAGTCCATAGAGGTTGCTAGTAGTCATGCAGGCATGCAAATCAAGCTAGCTTCAGGACCCTGCTGCCCACAAGGAGCTAAATTCACTGGCCTTAACATATATGGCAAGCATCATACCATATACAGTGAATAATTTCTCCTACAGATTTAACCATATGTGCAAATCCTGTCAACCATAGAAAATAAGCAAAATGCACCATTCCCCATCTTAATTGTTTTTAGTTCTGCAGAAATATTATCCTTAGCAGTGATCAAGGTTTAATCACAAAATCCTAAACTAAGAAACAGGTCACAGTAACTAAGTCCCAACAGTCCAGAACTAGCTCAACCTACGAGGACATCTGGCAGAGCAAAACAATACTTAAATTAGTACAGTGACATAAAAGATGCCATGCCAGTATGCCACATTATATTACCAAGGAAACAGGGACATTTGTCGACATATCAGAGAGATTCAGAATTTGAAAAGAAGTCTGTTTCTTGATAGCATGGTTGATGGTAACAGAGCACCAACTGGTGAGAGAATTGTCAAAACGCCAACAGTTTGTTCCTCTGCGGAATATCTTTCATGTGCTTGTCTGTGTTCAATGGCTCAATGATTTTTGGTAGTGTTGTGGCTGTTCTAGTGGGCGTATTAGTGATTTAGTGCAGCTTTCACTGGGTAATTTTGGCTGCTTCTTAGCGTAGCAATTTGTGCAGAGCTGTCTCAATCTGAGCCTAATTAAATGGTAATCAATCGTAGGTCCCATGACAGTGCAGAATTATCAACAACCAATGAGCCAACAGAAAAATAATAAGTAGGAGTAACAATTTGTACATAGCTACTGTAGCATCTAAAAATTATCTGTATGTGAATGTGATTAACGGCGGCACCTGCAGGAGGCGGTCGGCCTCGGTGTCGGGGTCGGTCATGTTGCGGCCGTGCACGTTGAAGCTGAGCGAGGAGAAGAAGGGCACGAAGAAGGCGTCGGCGGCGTCAGGATCCCGCACCCTGACGGCCTCCCTTCCCCCCTCCTCCGGTCCCGCGGCCTCGTCCAGGAGCGACGCCATCATCCAGTACTCCACGCTGTGCTGGCGCCTGATCCCGCCCGCGGAGGGTGGCCACGCGGGGAACCCCGCGCCTGCGGCGGCGGCGTCGGCCCCCATCATGGCGACGTGGAAGCGCGCGGGCAGGTCGTACATGAAGACGCGGAGCGGCGCGGCGGCGGCGGCGGCGGGCGCGCACCTGGCGGAGAAGGGCTTGAGGTTGAGGAGGGTGGCGCGGGTGGCCGCGGGCGCCGCGGAGGAGGTGAGGTAGAGGAAGGCGGAGGGCAGCGCGACGAGGAGCAGCAGGAACGCCGCGCCCAGCGCCAGCGCGCGGCTGCTCGGCGCCCCCATGGCGCCCGCCGACCCCAATGGCGCCGCGCAGTGGGCACACCCGTTGGTTGGCTCGGCTGTGCTGTGCTTTCCGATGGTGGTGGTGGTGGTAAAGTAGTCGGGGATGGGAACTTGTCACTCGATGAGAACGGGTGGGTGGACCTGATGGAACACTGAAACTGGAATGCAGGCACGATTGCACGTCTTCTAACGGTTTCTGCGACGGATAAGCTGATGCTATTTTTTACGTGAGAAAAATATTTAACCATGATAAACAGTTCGAGCGAACAGGTCTAGCTTGAGCAGTGTTCTGCTGCGATAAATTTTTTACTGTTTATGCTGAAAACACTGTTTATACTGGGACGTTGTAAGCGAAAAATACTGCTCCGGCTGGAAAAAAAAAAAAAAAAGACGAACCAGCCGGCAGCCGGCTTCTTTCCCAGCCGAACACTGCCGATCTCAATCTGGCCACGGCGTGGACTTCAGTTCTAGACGCAATCAATGCGCAATCAACAACGGGATACACTTTCGTGTGCATCTTCCGTCGTTGCTCTGGTGTGCTATTGGAATGTGAAGGTTGGGCTGGGGCTGTTGGGAGTTTGGGTGGAGCAAACTGTGTCCGCTATCGAATTTGCGAATCTGCGATGGACGATGGCGACGGCTCTCTGCGCTCTTGTGCTCAGTGATCCGTCCGCTTCTGCTTGGACCGTGGCCACGGTGACTGACAGCTAACCGCCTCGCGAGAAATTCAATACTACTCCGTCCGTCCAAAAAAAAACATAATTTTATAGCTTTGAAGCTGGACACGCCTGGACGGAGGGAGTAGAAAACAGTTTGATTCTTCCATCCAGAAGGGAAATTCCCCGGTGCGAGATGGCCATATTTTGACTTTTGAGCAGCATGTTCTTCATTGGAAGTACCGACTTCCATCCATAATGGCGTGGACGCGTGCACCAAAGTTGTCAGTGGCAGGCGACCTGAACCTGATAGAACCGGGAATCCGTGAGTTGATCGCAAGAGATTCTCCAGCAGGACTACGAATTCAGGAAGTCTCCCCTCTTCATTATTTGACCAGTACCACGAGTCCACGATGCTCTAAATCCAAGGCAAGCTGCTACCAGCTCGGTGGTCTCGGCTGTCAGCTCAAAAGGTTTCTTTCCCAGTGATCAACTGGGCAACAACTTACCAGGGTAAGGAAACATTAGTTCTGGAAGGAAATATTAGTCCTGGAGCTAGTGCTTCTGACGATGATTAGAATTCAGAATGTTGGAGTACTTATCTTTGCTTGCAAAACAGGGGATACATGATGCTTACAGACACAGCAAGGAAAGTACAGGCAGTCACAGCACAGACAGGGGACGCGTTCCAGAGGGTTAAACGATTTCAAAACACATGCCATACATTGTGTTGTGCAGATTCTCTAGCAAGTAAAATGCAAAGGTATCAGTCACATACTCGGGCAGCATGTTTCTTCAGGGATCATTGGGCCGTTGTACCCGTATTGTGCAAACAGCCAAGCATAATAAGAGCAGTAGCAGATTACATTCATATTCATAGACGTTCGATAGCAAGTAACAGATCCACGTAGTATCAGATTTCAAGAACCAAATGTTTCCATATGCTCATGCTTTCCTGGGGTGGATTTCGTGACCCCAAAAATTAGTTCTTCGAGGAACTAGTTTACAGTATGAGAGAGGACAGGGATGGCCGTTAACACTGTATAAATGATGCTGAACAGATTGGCCAGGAGTTATTGTCAAAATCTTCATGATTAAGGCAGCTAATGCTACGAATCAAGTTCTCCCATTATTCTGGTTGGAAATCAAGCTAAACAACAGCCAGCTGTCAGCCCCTTAATTCCATCTGCCATAGCTATCTTCTGCTCTGGTTGTTTGCAATGTACATCTCACCTATGCAATGTTGGGTAGGACTCTGCCATGATCAGAACAATAAGTGAAGTCCATCCAGTAAATGACCGTGCACCCTTTCCCTTTCCTTTGTTCTTCTGGTCATAGTTTTCCCAGAAGAACCCCGTTTCATCGTAATTCTGCACGATATTCCTGTAAAGGTAAAACCGGAAAGTAGTGTCAGCAATGTATTAGACAAGCTACAGTTCAGCGAATTCATTTGGTTTCAACTCAAGAGAAGAATGAACACACCGGATAAGATTTGATCTTAGCTTGTCATACAATTCCCCTGCCCTGCCGCTATATGGACCATCCTCTACAGGAAAGCACAATGTTAGATCATTGTGCCAGCAGAAGGGTTTGCAAAGGGTATAAACTAGGCAATTAAAGAGCTTACCATGTGCATAATGATGTAGTGCGGAAAGTACCATGTAGTTCATGTTTATCCAAATGGCACCTCTCCAATAAGGCGGGTCATGCTCTGTGTTACGCTTCATATATATTGAACTGGACCATGTATTAGTAGATACTTCAGAACCCAGTTATTGGATGACCAAATAATATAGCTATATAACTTGAGCTACGGTAATAAAGTATTGGGAGCATGAATGCAGTTTGAAAATTCCATCTAACCACATTGAATTGAAGCCTATGCCATTCATAGGATAGGAAAGCAATAGCATATATGCTCCAGATATCCAAGACTTATGTGGGGTGTGTGTGGTTTGGGAGAAGGGTTGGGGGTTTGGCCGTTTGGGGTGGATGAGGGGGAGGGGAGAATGGGCAAAATAATAGACCAAATCATGACCATTTACCTTTTTCTAGAAAGTGATCGAAGGCCATAATCTGTCCACAATATAGAGGTATTAGATATCAGATCGAGCTGCTTCTCAAGAACCCACGATTCCTGAGTAGTCAAATGTGATTATTAATTAAGATGGACATCAGAAAAACCATTTAAGTGATAAACAAGACAGACATAAGTAACATACAGGTGGAATAGTCCCCATCATGAATGGGAAGAGGCTGACATAGCCAACATGGGGTACTAACTGCAGCTGAGGGGGTTGTAATGTTTCCCGCAAGAACTCTCGTCTCATAGTATCCTTGTCTTTCACATCAAACCATCTCAATCGAACCTGCAAAAATAACCTCACAATCAAAGTTGAGAACAATGTGTGGCAAAAAAGTACCAAAGCTCAGAGGAAGCACTGTGCTGACCTTTTCAGTATGGTTACCATAATCAAAATAAGCACCAATTTTGTCATCCAAGTGCAACTGTAAAAATGCCAATAATTACATAACTGAATGTAACAAGCAGTAGTCATCAGGTTGTTTCGATTTTGGAACTAAACCAATATTGTCTCATAAAGGCACAATCAGGGTTCAGAACATGATCAATATATCAACTAGAATAAAACCATGTTTTAAGGCAGAATTTTTGCAAACGTACAATTTTCTAGAAGATTCCATACAGAGGAAATAATTGAGAGGTCCACTCTCAAGAGGAGAGAAGTTTAGTTTTATGGAGTCAAGACAGGGCCAAAATACTTGAGTGGTCTCCAAAAAATAATTCCAGTATGATACATAAATTCAAGGACTTGCATGTATCATGCATGAGTGTCTGTGTTTCGAAAAAAAAGGAATTGACAACACAGTACCTTGTTAAGTGTTCCGAAATCAGAAAGTTGATTTGATATCTTATAGTAATCCTGCAAAAATTCAACAAAATTTTTCAAAGAGGAGGCAAAGTCAATGATTGAGACAAATCAACTCGAATTAGCAAGTCATGTTCCTACATCCATACTGAACTACCTTCTCAAGAGCACCATCCATTTTAAGAAACTCTGCAATGGAACGGATGCAATTTGCAGCTAGAAGCATCCAACAACGAAGGTCAACATGCCGTTCTTCATCATTAGGGTGAGATGCACGAGGATAGTCATCCAATCCAGATGTCAGAGTCTGCAAAGTAATTGGGAACATCAGGTAAGTGCAAAGTGAAGGAACTCTAATGTTGGCATGACGTGGGCTCGATGAAAAAACTTTTGACCAACTGATCAGTACAGGAGCAAGCCACAATGAATTATGTAAAAACCTTTGGGTTCAACTCCCTTGTTGTTATGTTGTCTCTTCCATGCCAATAGAAGGTGCCTTCGTATTTACCTATGAACAATTTATGATAAATAAGCCAAATGTAGAAGTGTTGACACTGACAAGTAGAATCATATATGGAACGAGCAAATGTATATTCCGTGTCCATTGACCTCACAAGGGAATAGCTTTCACTTCAATTTTATGAAACAAATATCTCATATCTTACCGCTTAGATGGATTTGTAGAAAGTTCTACTGCACAGGGTGAAGCCACGTGACAATTAGATGGTGTTTATATCTTAGAGGATCATCAAAATGTTAGCTAATCTACCGCCACCTTGTGTGAACACAGCAGAGGAAGGCGGCGCCGACTTTGCCCCCTGTTAGATATCAGAGCAGCTGCAGTGCAGGTGCGCAGACGGCTCACCAGCTCAGACAAGACACTCAGAGAGGCACATGTAGTGGCCGCACAAAGTCAGTCCCTGTATGCTTATCTAGTTATCAGAATAACAGATGTGCTACTGACTTTTAGTTAGATAGATAGAGTTGTATAAATAGGGCACCAAGGCAACTCAAGAAAAGAGCTCAGATTTGCCATCACATGATTGGGGCCTCGGGCCAACGTTGTTGTCTTGTATTGTGCGTGCTTGCTCTGTTCTCCTTCTTCTTCTAGATCAATCCGTGAGTGCGGGTACGAACAAAACCGTCACGGTGGTGCGGGAGACTAGTGGTCTGGGAGACTAGTGGTCTGGGAGGCCAGGGGTCTGAGACTAGTGGTCTGGGAGACTAGTGGTCTGGGAGGCCAGGGGTCTGAGACTAGTGGTCTGGGGACTAGTGGTCTGGAGACTAGTTCACTGTCCTCAGCCGGTGATCCCGTAGGGCAACAAGTGGTATCAGAGCCTCGTACAAGCGCCGTCGTCATTCTAACCGATGGCGATGGCGACAAAGCGGTTTGAGTTGGACGACAAGCAGCGGCATCGCCATAGTTGCCTTGACCACTACCGAAGGTAGTTGTCCGCGACTGGTGCGGGAGGTCAACGCACCACTTGGCCGATCTTCGACTCGCACTAACTATAGAGAGTGGTCGGTGACCATGAAGGTCAAGCTCGAGTCCGATGGCTTTGGAATGTCGTTGACAAGGGCACCGACGTGGAAGAAGACGACATGTCGGCGCTGGAGGCTATCCTCATTGCATTCGGCGAGTCTGTGGAACCGTTGGGGACGAAAAGCTCAGCTAAGGAGGCGTGGGAGACCATTGCGGCGATGCGAGTCGGTTCCGACCGCGCAAAAAGGCGACGGCCCAGCTTCTGAAGCAGGAGTACGCAAACCTCAAGTTCAAGGATGGTGAAACAGTGGAGGACTTCTCCTCCGCCGCAGACGCTCATCGGCAAGCTAAAGAGCCACGGCGGTCACCATCGACGAAGAGGAGGCGGTCTCCAAATTCCTCCACTGCGTCGGCAAAGTACATCCAGATCGCTCTCTCCATAGAGACGATCGTTGGACTTGTCCACCCTCACCATCGAGGATGTGGCAGCCGTCTCGGCAGCGGTGGACGATACCGGGCAAAGCGGCAAAGAACGGCGACATCGGGAAACTCCTGGCGACGGAAGAGGAGTGGATCGCTCGGCGAAACTCCGGAAGGCGCCTCCTCCGGTCGCGGTGGCAACGGCAAACATCGCGGCGTGGCTTCTTCGGAGAAGAAGCAAATCGACTCAACGCTTCGCCGGTGTTGGGAAGATGGGCCATTGGGCACGGGAGTGCCCAAATCGCAAGAAGGAAAAGAAGGCTCAGCTCACTGGCGAAAGCCGATGATGAGGATGAGGCCACTATTCTATGGCGACGCTTACGTAATCGCACGACGCCGAGGCCATGGAGAGGGAAGAGGCGACAACGGTGGAAGGATCTAGCAAGGCCTCAAGACCGTCAACCTCGACGAAACACGCGCCAAGTCCATCTCGGGCGTGTGGCGCCGACCAGAGCAGTACCGTGGTATCTCGGACTCGGTGCCAAAGCAACCACATGACGGGCTCCAAGGACTCCTTCTCCGAGCTCGACGGCGATGTTACCGATACGGTGAAGTTTGATGACGGCTCAAGGGTGGCTATCCAAGGCGCGGCACCATCATCTTGAGATGCCGAACGGGAGCACCGCGGCGCTAACGGATGTATACTACATCCCGCAATCTGCGTTCCAAAGATCATCGCATTGGTCACCGGATGAGCGCAGTAGCGCAGGTTCGATCAGGACGGCGCTCGAGGATCGAGAGACGGGAGCAGCCGCGACTTCGCCAAGGTGAAGAGGTCCTCGAATCGGTTGTACCGCCGACCAAGGTAGAGCAGTACGGTTTGCTGGCGGCAAGGCACCGAGGAACTGTGGATGTGGCATGCCCGGTTCGGACATCTCACCTTCGCAGCGCTTGGTCGGCCGGGAAGATGGTCGAGGGCTACCCCACATCAAACACGGAGGCGAGCTGTGTGACAGCTGCCTGGCTGAGAAGCAGAGGAGGCTACCGTTCCCAAAGGCGGCCAAGTATCGAGCGAAGGAAGCTCTCGAGCTAGTTCACGGCGACCTCTGCGGGCCGATCACGCCGCTACATGCGGTGGTCGGCAATACTTCCTCCTACTCGTGGACGATTGCGATGCGCTACATGTGGCCGCAACTCCCGACGAAAGCAAGGACGAACCGCGGTGGCGATCAAGAAGTTCAAAACGCGCAGCGAGGCCGAGCGGCAAGAAGCTCGCGATCGAGGATCGATCGAGGTGGTGAATTCACCGGTGGAGTTTGCTACGCATCGCAGCGGATCGGGGTGTGGGACAACATCACACCGCTACAGACTTCGCCACAATAGAATGGCGTGGTGGAGCGACGGAACCAGACAGTGGTCGGCATGGCCCGATCCATGATGAAGGCCAAAGGATGCGGCAAAAGTTCGGGAGAGGCGGTGACCACGGCGGTGTTCATCCTCAACCGCGCTCCAACCAAGGCCCTAACGGGCAAGACGCCGTTCGAAGCTTGGTACGGGAGCAAGCCGAACATGTCATTCCTCCGGACATTCGGTTGCATCGGCCACGTCAGGAAGACGAAGCCGAACCTCACCAAGCCGGAGGGTGGAGCACACCCATGGTGTTCTGGGCTACGCGGAGGGTACCAAGGCGTCACGGCTCTATGACCCACGGAGACAAGGTGACTATCTCGCTGACGTTGTGTTCAACGAGGAGGCGGCTTGGGGACCGGAGCAGTCGAGCACGGGGAAGCAGAGGCTTCCCAACACCTTCGTCGTTGAGCACTTGGTCATCCACGGCGGTGGAGACGCCATGAGCAGTGCCACGACTCCGGGAGAAGCGCCGAGCACTCCGGCGGTAGAGTCGAAACACGGGGGGCAATCTTAGAGAGCACTTTTGGAGGGATGCCGAGCACGCCAGAGTGGAGCAGGAGTTTCTGCAGGTGGTGGCGACCACTTCAGACGGGTCCGAAAGCACTCCCGTGGCGGAGCCAAGATGTCTTCTCGTGGTCCCAACCACTCCAAGATCGAGGCTAGGCACTCCTATAGTGTGGCCGAACACCTGCAGGAGTTATGACGAGCGATCGTAAGCGATGCCGAGCAACACCGGATGCTATGCGAGGCACTCCGCGGAAGAAGGAACTTCATCACCCCGACCGAAGTTCGCCTCACCTCCAAGTGACATCACCGAGTTCGTGGATGCCTACCACGAAGGTGAGGAGTTGAGGTTCCGCGCAGTGGACGACATCGTCGGCGCGCACAGTCCCTCGTGTCTGGCGGGTAGGTCGCTCAACGACGCAGAGCCGCTACTCGTCGTCGCAGAGAGGAACCACCCACGTTCGCGCTTAGCCGAAAGCGCGATGGAAACCAGCGACGGGCGTCGCCGGAGGAGATGAAGGCGATCGAGGAAAACGAGACTTGACAGCTCGTCGATCCACCTCCGATGATGCCGTCCGATCGGCTGAAGTGGGTGTACAAAGTCAAAAGACGAGCTCGGCGCCATTGTCAAGTACATAAAGCGCGCCTCGTCGCTTCGAGGCTTTGTCGGCCGCGAGGGCATCGACTTCGAGGAGGTCTTGCGCCGCGATGTGCGCATGGAGTCGGTCCGCTTGCTACTTGCTTTGGCGGCGGCAAAAGGATCGCGCGCGCCCATCACTTGGACGTTAAATCGGCCTTCCTCAACGGCGGTGGCGGAATCGGTCTTCGCCAGCAACCTCCGTGGTTATTTGTCAAGGGAGAGGAGTGAGGTGCTCCGATCGCACAAGAAAGCGCCTACGGTCGCGCGGCAAGCCCTCGAGCATGGAACGCCAAGCTTGACACCACGCCGGGCGAAGTTTGGGTTTCAGAGGTGCGCAAATCGAGCACGCGCTCTATACGCTGACACGACGACGGGGAAGGAAGAGCTCGTGGTCGGCGTGTATGTGGATGACTTAATCGTCACCGTGTAGCGCGCACGGAGGATATAAACAGCTTCAAGCGAGAGATGGCAGCTCGTTTCGAATGAGCGATCTCGGCACTCTTCTCGCATACTACCTCGGCATCGAGGTGAGACAGGGAAGGAGGAACTCACGCCGGGCAAAGCGCGCATGCCTCCAAGCGTTGGAGGAGCGGCATGGTGGAGTGCAAGCCATGCGTGACTCCGATGGAGGAGTGGTGAAGTCGACGGCGACGAAGACCATGGCGAAAAGTGGATGCAACACTCTACCGGAGCATCGTCGGCGGTCTGCGCTATCTAGTCCACACGAGGCCGGACATTGCGTTCGCCGTGGGCTACGTCAATCGCTTCATGGAGAATCCCAGAGAGGATCACTGGGTTGCGGTGAAACGGTTGCTACGCTACGTCAAGGGGACGGTGAATCATGGAATCATCTTCCCGAAGACCGGGGGAAGTAGGTTGCGGCTCACGGCGTTCAGTTGATGCGAACATGGCGGAGGACATCGACAGACGACGGAGCACCACCTTCGCATACTCGTCTTCCTCGGCCAGCCCCAATTTCATGGTCATCCATCGAAAGCGAGAAGGTGGTAGCGCTATCTACGTGCGAGGCGTAGTACGAAGCGGCGCGCCACAATGGCGTGCCAAGTTGTGTGGCAAGGCCGGCTGGCCGAAGCGAAGCGGCGCGGAAGCTCACCCACCAAAGATCGATGGTGGACAACCAGCCCGCCATCGCCCTCACGAAGAATCCGGTTCGCACGCATCGAGTAAACACATCGACGTGAAGTTTCACTTACTCGTGGACTATGTTGATGGAGGCGATCGTCATCGAGTTTGTCGGCTGGTCGGCAACTCGCGGACGTCCTCACCAAGCCGCTTCGGACGACTTCGACTCACGGAGTGAAGGAGATGATCGGCATGGAGGGGTGCAAGGGTTAGCGAGAGGATTAGGGAAAGATTGTTAGCTAATCATCGCCACCTTTGTGAACACAAAGAGAGGAAGACGGCGCCGACTTTGCCCCATCTTTGGATATCGTGAGGCAGCTGCAGTGTAGGCGCGCCAGACGGCTCACCCACAAAGATCAGAGGCACATGCAAATTGGCTTGCGCAGAGTCAGCCTACAGTATGCTTATCTAGTTATCAGCATAAAGACATGTGCTACCTGTACTTTAGTTAGATAGATAGAGTTGTATAAATAGGGCACCAAGGCAACTCAGTAAAGAGAGCTCAGATTTGCCATCACACAGACAGGGCCTCGGTCAACGTTGTTGTCTTGTATTGTGCGTGCTTGCTCTGTTCTCCCTTCTTCTTCTAGCTTGATCCGTAGTGCGTGGGTAAGGACAAAACCGATACGGTGGTCTGGGAGACTAGTGGTCTGGGAGACTAGTGGTCTGGGAGGCCAGGGGTCTGAGACTAGTGGTCTGGGAGACTAGTGGTCTGGGAGGCCAGGGGTCTGAGACTAGTGGTCTGGGGGTCTGGGGACTAGTGGTCTGGAGACTAGTTCACTGTCGTCAGCCGGTGATCCCGTAGGGCAACACAAAACACATAAAATCATTCCCTACCAAAGTGAATGCTTCCTATTTTGAACAAGCAGAACAGGTCCAATAGTTGGACAAGGAAATACAAAACTATTTAAGCTCTAAAGACTCAAAAGCAGTTGGGTCACATTTCTTTTTTTGGAACAGTGGATTTGAGATGTAACAGCTACTTAACTAGCTGAGGACCACAATTACAAAAGAATAGTTTAGAACCAAATACACTTTTTGCACCGACTGAGGTGAGAGTATAAAATATGGAGCAACCAGAGATCAGTTCTGCAAATCTGATGTGCCTCTACAAAAGGAAGTCTAGGAGATCGACCGGAATGACTCTGTCAGCTATGTCAACAGATTATTTCTGATCAAGCTTAGGTTCATGTCTGATAAGAAATTATGCTGACTACAATTAATGAACTGAAGCCAGCAGTAACTGAAAGTGATATTCTGAAATTGAAATATACTCCAAAAATTAATAGCACCCAGTGAAGGCTTCAAAGGCCCAACCGTATCTCATCTTCTGTTTTTTTTTTGTACCATACAACCACGGCTAGCACCTAATAATAGACTGAGCTAGTGCCTCTTGTTAGGCTTGCAACTATCATCTCAGTACACCATATAACAGCTTAGGTTTATCGTGTTTGTGTGTTTCAGAAAATAATCATGGCAACAGCATTAAACTCCCACACTAGTCAATATGAGTACAGAAAATGAAAGTGGGAAAAGAAAGCTCACCTGATTGTGTACTGTTGAACCACTGAAACCAAGAATTTAGCCGTATATAAGCCCTTTCAAGAAAACTGGAAATCTTTTCAGCTTCCTCATCTGAAAACTGATGTGCATGTATTCCACTTGCCAAATCTGTCCCAAGACAAAGAGCAGATGACAAATTAATCGAAAGAAAGACTTGATTACAGATTTACAGTGAAAGACTTCAACTCTTATGGACCTTCATATGTTTAACAGACTTTTCATGCTTGCCAGTCAACAAAATTTCTTAGCATTTGATGTTTATAATTGGATAAACATACACCAAAATATTACAAACTAACATATTTTGTAATATTCCCAAGACAGGTCTTCTGTTCCTTGAGCACTATTTGCCGTGCCCTTTTTCATATATTATGGCATTTGAATATTGGAAAAAGAGGAACAGAGAACTACAGTTTGTAAATTGATTTTATAGGTTATGCTTCAGCATTTTTCATTTAAAGGCATGCCATGCATGCAAGTTACACTAAATATCAGAGAAAACAAAGAATTAGATATCACAAGATACAATAAACACATCATCAACATGAGGAGCAAGAAAGAAAGTAATGGCTTAGAGGCTTACCACGTATCGCAAGAAATAAAGTTGGAGGGTTCCCATTGGAAGGGTACTGCAGAACAAACTCCTCAGGAACTTTACTGCATGATTGCAGAAGTTGGATTATATAAGAAGTGTCATACTAAATTTATCACTGGTTGTGACAGTAGAAACAACCTTAAAGCTTCAGCTCCTAAGATTTGCTCCCTAGGAATCCATCCATCTGAATTAAGCAGATCTAACCAATGTCCAATGATATCCATAGATATATGCACATCCCAACGCCTGTACATCAACCACCGGGATGTGCATTAGCATACAGCAGAAAACCTTCATTGAACACTGAGATAAAAACTAATGGTTACCAAATGACTAATTGATGGAAGCCCTCATCCCACAGAAATCCCCTTGGAAAGAATGAGCGGCTGGGCACAGCTGTATATAACGCAGCGGGCCAATATGGAATATATTTATCCCCATTTTTTTGCTGACAGAGAAACATAAGCATTAAGTTTTGGTTGTCTGTGACTTGTAATTAGCTTAGGAATTCAGATGCAACATACTACAAAACAGTATAAAAATAACACGCAGCTAATCAAAAAAAGTATCCTGAGACAGCAATTTCTCAGAACAAGAGCAGATCACAACATATGAACAAATGAAACAGATATCAGGTGAAGCTCTAAAACTTACTGTAAAACCTTTCGGAAGTGCAATTTTGGACTGCCCATAGAAGTAGCCAACACCGCCAAGAAGACTTGACAAGGCAGCTCTACCAACAGATAATTCTCTGGAATCAATCTTAATCAAAATGAAAACTACGTCAGCATAGGTCAACGACAAAAACTTTAGTCAAGTTTTACTAATTGTCTACAAACAAATACAAGAGCCAATAAAGTAATGAGTAGCATCCCTTGGGAAAGAAATATTTTAATCAAGGATCAAAAATGATTTGATTCGTAGGAAACAATAATACAGTGAGAATATAACAACTGCAGATACTGCAAAAACAAAAGAAAAAATTGTGGAATGTCAAACAAAATGCTCATCCAACACAGCGCACCTTATTATTTACATTGAAGATTCGATCATATTTCTCTTCAAATTCCTTTTGTTTTGTTTCAAGACGGGTACAGCATGGGACCTGACATCATTAGTGAGAAGCAACTAAAACAACAGATATATTGTGCTTACAGCGTTCTTGAATTTCATATTCATCGCAAAGACGAGATGTAGATAAAACAGATCCAGAAAATTATGCAAGGATGTAGAACAAGCCAAGAGCCAAATAGATTTGTTCAAAAATCAAAATGATCAGTGCGTAAAGAATATGGGTGGTGACTTTGCATCTCATGACAAATAGAATCAGAAGAATCACATATAGTGTTTGTGTAGAAAGGATATGTGGCACCAGGCGGCAGTGGGACAAGGCACCAAGTGTTGTTGTCCTTCAGAGCCTGGAACTCGTCGACCATTGCAGCACGCCAGTTGGTGTCAGCCAGAGCACTGCGATAGTTTGCCGGAAGCGGAGAGGGCGATGATGGCGAAGCCGTCAAGCCCTGGTAGGACACCCGCGGAATGGCCCCAGTCGCAGTCCGAGTGACAGGTCGTGTAGAAGCAGGAGGTGGCGACGATGGCAGGACTGCAGGCGCCTGAGGTGCTGCAGGCGCAGGTGTCGACGGCAGAGGTGTGAGCGCCGGTGCTGCTGGTGCCAAGACCAGGGGCGGCTCTGCAGTAGGCGCCGAAGCAGATGCCGTAGCTGATGGATAAGTCTCATGTGTGGCTGGTCTTTGTGGGGCTATGCTGCTCACATGGTCCTTGTGGCTGTTTTTCTGTTTTTAGGACAGCATCTTAGACTAGAGGACAGCATATTAGCATCTTAGACTAGCATCTTGGCATCTTAGACTAGCATCTTGGCATATGCTTGGCTGGCTAGCAGCCTATAAATATGTAACCCCAACCCCTCAGGTTGGTATGGCATTTGTGTGAGTTTGTGTGAGAAATAAACCAGAAAATTGCCCCAACTCCTAGTGTCATCCTCTCTCGATGAGAGTAAGAATTCTCCTACTACCAAGAGTGAGAATTCAGCGACTAACAGAGACCTTCTCGTTAGCGAGGCGAAGTTCCTTCAGAGCGAGCATGTCCCGCGCCTGGTTGAAGGACGGGAAGCCGGTGGCGGAGTTGGCGATGTCGTCGGCTGTGGTGGTGAAGCGGGGGTTGAGGCCGCGGAGAAGGTTCAGGACCAGCTGTGATTCCTGAACTGGATGACCGACGTCGCAGAGGCCGTCGGCGAGGGTCTTCATACGGCCGCAGTACTCGGCGATGGTGGAGTCGCCCTGCGTCATGGAGTGGAAATCATGACTGAGGAAGATCGCCCGGGACTGCCTGTTGGCGCAAAAGAGGCCCTCAATGGCGAGCCAGAGGTCCCGGGCGGTCTGGTTGTCGTCGGTCATGGCGAGGTCGAGGACGGAGTCGTCGACGGAGCCGAAGAACCAGGAGCGGACGCAGCAGTCCGCCTGATCCCAAGCAGGATCCTGGGGGCAAGGTGGCATGGTGCCATCGATGTGCGACCGGAGGCCGAACTTGCCGCACAGAGACTTGAAGTAGGACGCCCATCTGGAGTAGGCAGTGGACTTCATCGTCAGCGTCACGGGAATATGGGACTTGACGTTGACGGTGGCATATGGTTGGACGGTAGGGGAAATGAAGGCGTCGCTGCCGGACGTGGCGCCAGCAGGAACACCAGAGAAGCCGCCGGTAGCAGTGGGCGGCACAGAGGTGCCACCATTGGCAGCAGGAGGCGGGCCAGAGGGCGGCACATGGCCTGTGGGGGCGCTGGATCCAGGATGGACGGTGGCCATGGCACAGCAGGCCAGGAGAGGAGGGGAGGGCGCAGGGAGGAAGGAAGAGGGCGCAGGGAGAAAGGAGGAGGTTCAGGATCTAATTAGCTGATACCATGTAGAAAGGATATGGGAAACACCTCACCCCTAATGAGGGGGGTGACCTCTATTAGGGTGACCTCTATTATATAACCAATCAGGCTTGATATATATGGAATACAATCAGTGTACATGGAAGGAATGAACAAGCTTCCTAATACACATATATACTTCCTAATAGTTTGCAGTATGCGCTACGCAGCAGAATCACCTGTTAGCTTGCTAATCCGCTCTTCAATCACTGGAGACTTTGAGGAAGACCCTGACAAGAATACTATGTCTATTTGAGCAGGAGTCTTTATGGAAACCTATCAAATCAAAATAAAGTATAAATCATAATGCAATAGCTCATGAGAAACAACATAAGGCTAGATCGCAGCAAACATGGATCAGAAGTATCAACAGAGGATAACAGTAACATTTGGTTACATAACTTTTTTTTTTTTGAAACAAAGGTTACATAACTTATAAAGTAGAAAACAACAAAATATATAAAGTAGTTCACCAAAAAATAGCCTCAATACATCCTCCATGTGTCCAATCCATACATATTACTACTACATAACAGTGAGTATAGCTAATGTGCTAATATATTTCTACTGCTAATGCTTAACTGAAATATGAGTATATGACGTGCCAGTGATCAAAGTTATTGCATGCAACACCTGCTTCTTGACATTATACTGAATAAACAAGCACATGTTCCGCATCATTTATCATTTTACGAAAGTCAAAAGGAAATAAGATGGTGTTAATGACTCTTTCTACCGAAAGGCTTCACACATACATGAGGAATACATAATTACCCTAAATTATAATGATGGATAAATTTCCTTGCCCTCTTCCAGTTACCTGATAGACCATTATATTTGAAGAATCCTCAGTAATGTCTGGTAGATTAAGGTTTCCAGTTTGCATTGCCTAGAGATAAATCCATATAAGTAGTTACATGGAAATGTACTTAATGAAATACAAAATGTTCTGATTTTTTTCCCAAAATACTCCCTCTGTTCCTAATTGTAAGTTGTTTTAGCTTGGTTCTAAGTCAAACTTTTCTAATTTTACCAAGTTTATAGAAAAAATATACAAACATCTACTACGTCAAACTATATTCATAAGATACATCATGAAATATATTTTGATAGTGGATTCATTTGATATAGTAAATGCTAATATATTTTTCTATAAACTTGGTCAAAGTTAGATAAGTTTGACTTAAGATAAAGTCAAAAGTCAACAATTTACAATTTGGGACATAGGGAGTAATAAGGTAAATGATGAGGAGTTTAAAATACATTAGTCGCAACAGCTTGTTGTACTAGGTCACTCAGATTATGCATACTCGTTGATTTGAATCCAGCTCTGTGAATTTCCAAATTGTCCTGTGAGAAACAGAGTTGCATATATTATATCCATATGAAAGTTAGTCAAATGGAGTTGCACCAGCATATCCCATAGCAAACAGTACTGAGGAGCTAACGAGGTCAAAAACTATCAAGACAAGGATACCTCAGATCTCAAGTACAATTCCCAATCACCAATCTCCTCATGCGACCCAGATGCCAAAAGAACAGGGCCTCTTGATGAAGGTTCATATGAACCCATAGTGATCTGATTTCCAGTTTCATCAGCAACGTAGAAAAAAAGATGTGTGGTGCTTTCTTGAGCATCACTTAAGCCTGACCTAGAGAAAGTTTAACAACATGGAATAAATTTCTTTTGGATAACTTTGAAGGGTTGCAAGTAAGTAATCACAGGCGATATCCTACTGAGCTGGGATCAGGCTACGTCGCAACGAAGGAAACAATTCAGACTTATCATTCTTTCCATCCTCTGTTTAGTATGTTTACAAATTGAGATGCGTTAAAACAGCTTTTTGGTAAGATTGAAATGCTCTTTTCTTCAATTTGCAGATAATGAAAGTATGCTTACCTCTCGCTGTTAGCGTCCAATCGAACTGCCCAGTCTCCACCATAACCACTGCTCTCTCCTTTCTCTTTCAGAAAACTAGTAGTCAAGAATAGGCCATGATCAACCAGCACTTGACGTCCATAATCCCTACCATTGTGAGCTGTCCACCCAAATGTGCTCAGCTCATCAGAATCTTGGCAAACATGACGAAGAAAGTATTGTCCATTTTTCAAGCCAATCCACATCAATCCAGCAATTAGAGACAGGGGGGTTCTGAAATAGAGGTAACATTAGCAAGAAATTCTTGAATCCTTGGTTCCAAAATACTCTCATTGCATAAAGATGGTACTTTCAGCTAAAAAAATAGCATGGTGTATTATTTTAAAAGGCACAGTATAGAAGTACTTTCATTGCATAAAGATGATCACATGAAGGCACAGAGGGACAAGGAGGGGGGGCGGGGGAGGAAGGGGGGGCTTCTCAGTTATAAGATTCTAACTTTCATGACAGTAAGGAAACATCATCAAAACTATTTATATGAGGAACATGAACTTTCAAATGTAGTCCAACTAGTAGAGAACTACAGGAAGGGAATAATTTTCAGTAATTAACTTGTTGTGAAGGAAAATAGGGAGGCTTTGCAAGAGTTTAGCACCTTGCACGAATTCCAAGGTACACATTTGGTCTATAAGTGCCCCAATACAAACTTTCCTTGTGGTTACTTTGAAACTGCAATCATTTAGGCATGAACCATCAGAAAGGTAACATGGTTACTAATAAAACCCAAGGATACAAAGAAATGAGAGCCTTTCAATTATGCATCATTCAGGAAAAAAAACTAGATTGAGAGAAAATCAAGTGCACACTAGAAAGAAGTATAAATACATATGTTAGTGTGCATTTTATCAAAAGCACTTTGCAACAAACAAATTTGACTAGCTTTGTTTACCAACATCAGTACATACTACTGCGCTTCAACATAACTCTATCATCGTTAAATATGAAGTGATGCACAATTAATAGCTCATGGTGCCAATCTCACCTGATGCTAAATCAGCGGTCACTACTACTTCACGAATACATAAAGCAACACTTCCAAAATCAACTTGAGGCCCTGAAACTAGAGTGGTGTACTTCCCTACTAGCTTTAGCTGTCGTGCAATTTCATTCAACCTTCGGGACAAAAACAACGTGGCAACCAAATGCGCATCACCTGAGGCAGATCCATCATCCTGGGCGCTGACAGCGGCGTTACGGAGCGCATGACCTTTCGCAGCGTCGCCGCGCCCTCGCCTTCCGCCTCCTCCACCACCCACCAGTATACACCACGAAGGCGACCGACACGAGGGCGAAGGAAGCAATCACGAAGAGCGCGAGGGTTCGGGGCCTCACGTCCATGAGGCGCAGGGGCCCATGGTCGCCGCAGCCACGGCGCCGCGCCGCTGCGGCCGCGGCTCGGCGTGCGCTTGGCTCCGGCTCCGAGGCCTCAGAGGGCCTCCGCGGCTCCTGGCAGCGGCGGTCGGACGCCGGGTGCTGCTGCTGCCGCCGGTCATAGGAAAACTCTCGCCGGCAATCTCGCCGTTTCTGCTGGGGTCTGGGTCTTGGGAGACCGGAGGGTTTCCATACGTACTTAGCTTATTTTCGCCTCGCTTTTGCGGTCACGTAATATCGGATTTACGCCTAAGCCCATCCTTACCCTGACTTCAAGTCTCCGGTGCTTTGTCCATGTCACAGGGAATGGTGATCTCATATTCCAGCAGTAGAGGATTTGATTCCTCTTATCTAAACCTTAGTAGTACAATTTTCATATGTTTAATTACCCCATATTCATTCTAACAATATACTCAAAGCATGTCCAACCTACATCTATAGAAACAAATGGATTTTTCCATATCCGACTATCTTGGGCTTGCTCCTGTAGCCCGTGTGCACCTAATTGACCTGCTCCTACACCCGTTGTGCATGACCCTTATGATAGCTCTGCACACTAAGCCTCGATAGGGGCACTGCTCCCATACACCCTCTCTCAACCTTGTACATTTGTGTCGCCTCACTAGGGTTTTCTCTCCTCTCATGCTTGCCTTCCACAAGCGGATCTGGAGATCCTGTCGCCTCCACCTCCCTCGCCCGAGGGCTCGTGAGAGGCTCGATGGAGGTTCAGTAGTCTTGGTGTACCTAGTATTTGAGAAGGATCCCTTTCATTTAATTCCTTAGGCGTCATGCATCGGATCTTCATCTTCACTCTTTTTTTGTCACGACCTTTTGATTGTGATGCCAATTCATCTTTTTTTGCGAACAATGGTTTTGTACGTATTTTATTACGGGAAAAAATTTTAACACAAAGACATGGTGTTCGACGAACAACAGGCAACGAGAGGCCTACCATCGTAGACGAACAAACCACAACGACCTGCCAAAACACTACTACGATTATACAAACATGGTGTTGGATTGTTTAGCTCCGGCAATGCCTAGCAACGTGATCGCGTAGATTGATCCAAATGGTCGCGCACGAGACACAGAGATTTATACTAGTTCGGGCCCCCAGAAAGCGAGTAAGAGTCGTACGTCCAGTTGCTACTTCTTGTATTCGTATGCTCGGTTACAGGGGTTGTTGCTCCTAGTTACAAGATAGATTGGAATGAGGCGATTGTGCCGTGGTGGACGTGACGATCGCGGAGTCCTTACCCCTCTTTATATAGGCAGAGGGGTAGGGTTACAACGAGGGCGATCGGCGCTATAGATTGGATTCCGAATTTGTTACAACAAATCAATTATATCCTACCATAGCCGTGATGGCGGCAGATATCCTTGATACGTCGTGATCTCTAAGTTGGTAGTTGCGCCTAGTCCTTGGTCGTCCTCCGTTGATGGGCCAGATATATGGTCGATGAGGGTACCCGGGCCCATATCTCTGACACATGGATTCGTGACTGGAAGAGCCCCTAGCAGTGTGTTGCCTACACGTCAACCGTGGCCGGACTTTGCCTCTCTGATCTCTTGTGTTAATGCATCTCGGGTTTGGTTATAACTTGTTTTTTAGGGAAATAGGAAGAGGCGCTCCCTATTATGCTTTTATTGAAATTTAAAAGAGGTACAAATGTCTTACAAAGAGCCTCAAGAAACAAAGAAAGAAACAGAGAAAATCTATAAAATTACACATAAGCTTCTAGCCATTGGGAAACCAACAGAGCTAAGCTGTCTTTTGCTCTAAGAATAACTTGAGCAAACTCCTGTTTGAAGATGGTCTTGCAGTGAAGAATCAAGGGTTGAACTTGCCTGAAAATAACATCATTTCTAACAGTCCAAATAGCCCAACACATAGTTACAATAATCTTCATGAAAAAAGGAAGCTGCAACTGGTTTTTGAAGGATACCAGGGTTCCAAGAGGATCTGCTGGTTGCTGAATGACCAGACCAAGAGTTGCCCAGCAAGAACTCGAGAAAGGACAGGCTAAGAACAGGTGGATGAGGGATTCTTCCAGGGTTGAATTACTGAGAACGCAGTTGTAATCATCCAACACCATTCTTTTTCTTTTTAAGAGCTCTCGGGTGCTAAGCCTGTCCTTGAGTAACAACCAGAAGAAAATTTTTCTTTTGTTTTGACAACAGGATTTCTATAGCCAAGAGAAAACAGGGTAAACTTGCCTTGTACCAGTGAGTTGCACATATGCTTTTTTTGAAGTAAAGATATTAGAACCCCAAATGTACGACCAAGAATCAAAACCGCCTTGTAAGTCCAGGGATTGCACAATAACCAAAAGCTGGGTGTACTGCTGAGGTTCATTCTGACATGTGATGCAAAGATATGCATGGATTTAGCTTGAAGCTATCACATTTGGCCGATGATGTAGCCCCTTGTCGATTGAGATAGGAAAGAATAGATTTTTACACTTCTGTAATGGCTGATATTGGATAGAAAGGTCGATGATTTGTTTATGTGTTGTGGGTGTAACTGAGCAGTACCGTTAGGTCCATCCTCGCACAAAGCTCTAGAGGCAAATCTTTTGATTTTTGCAGACGTGCTTTGAACTTTTTTGTGCTATGTACGCTTGGGGGGTCCCCAACAGTTGACAAATTGCTAGCACAGAAAGGATTCTATTGGTTGTGCAGGAGAGATATCATTGCGCTAGCGAGCGGTAACTAGCTAGTCTCGCACATGTCCTAAGAAACACCCTCTCACAACTCACACGCCTCTTCACTCTGGTGCTTTTTTTTTTAATTATTTTCAGAAGTCATGTCGCTAGCGATGTTGTTGTTGCCGTTGAGGACGCCATTAGTCAATCATGGACAGAGGGTCTGCAACAATGATCGCAGTTGTCCTAGAAAAGAGAGGTTTTAGATTCCATACAGTCATACAGAGGCAGATTTCTTGGAGCATCCTAGGATCCACTTCCGTGGCCACAGAAGCTTCCTAACCATGGAAATGGGAATTTTTGCTAGCACCATCTTTCATGTGACAGTGTGCTGAACTGCTGACGTTGAATTTTGATGCCACCTTCCATGTGACATTGTGCCGAACCTTTTCATTTGCAGGTTTAATGTTTTACTATACTACGATCAGTCAGTCAGTCACTGAAGAAAAATAAGATTGAATCACCAGTAACAAGCAGCTGTGTATTACAATATTCAGAGCTGAGAGCTCACATTACAAGTGCGCGCAGGCGCAGCGCGATGGATAGTCTAACTGCATGCCAACCTTGAAACTCCCCGACTCTGACGCATCCAAGGTTTTCATTTTCGGAAATTAAAATTTATCGGGAGTCACAGATAAAGAGGATAACAGGATATATCGGAAATATCGGACCAAATTCAAATAAAATTTAATTTGAATTTAAGTGAATTTAAGTAAATTTAAATAAAATTAAATAAAATTTGTACGAAAAAGATAGATATTTTCTTGTCGGCACCTAAGAATAAAAATGATATATCCAGGAGATTTCGGCCGAAAAAGAAAACCATGGACCGTCTCCCTCAGACTTTAGCTTATTCACACCCATCCCATGGACTTCTGGCACTTGCGCGGGGGTGTCACCTTGAAGCTCCCCTCCTTCCTTTGCTCCAGCGTCATGCTGGTGTAGTTCTTCCAATCCGCGGCAATGTTCTTGAGGTCATGCACCTTGTTCTCCAGCCCCATGCAGCAGTTGGCGTGCACGGTGCAGACCTTGTCCAGGTGATCCTGGAAGTCGCAGAAGCCGCTGATGTACTCCGTCTCCAGCGGCTGGAACCTGAGCCCGAGCTTGCTGATGAGCTCGTGCTTGATCTTGCTGAATACCACCTGCTCGTTCGGGTTCCCGTCGAACCTCGCCCTCGCCGCGCGCCAGTACCTGACCATCTCGACGCTCCGGTTCGTCGACTTCATGTAGTAGAACCCGATGTTGTTCTCGCAGTCCAGGAGCGTCGGCGCCATCTTGGAGTTGTCCAGCGAGCAGCTCATGTCGGCGTACACGGAGATGCGCTGGAACGGGTTGCGAAGCCACAGAATGTCGGCGTCCTGTATACAGGACAGGAGAGATCTATCATCGATATGACGAGCGTTTCGAAATTACTAGCAATTGAGTGCTGCCATGTGTGGATCGATCGTCTTGCCGTGAAGAGGAAGTTGTAGCCGAGATCCAGGACGCGCTGCTGGACGGAGAGCTTGAGCCAGTTCAGCTCCACGTACTCCGGGCTCCCGAACGTCTTGGCCCTGTTCATGTCCATGGACTTCACCTCGAGGAGGTAGCAGTGCGGGTGCGCGGCCTTGCAGCCGCTGAAGGAGCCGGCGTCGACGGTGACGATGAGGACGTGGTCGACGAGGTGCGCCGTGTCCTCGCCGTTCCTGAAGCCGCTGAGGAAGAAGTCGAGGAGGGAGTTGGGCCGCGTCCATATTTCGTTCACCGACGTCATGATCACCGTCCTGTCCTCCGTCGCCACTCGCGCCAGCAGCTCGGCGAGGCCCGCGAACTCTACCTGCAATGCATGATGAGTTCGAATGCAGATTATCATAGCATATTAGCATGGGAAAAATACACAGGGAGTACTCGCAGCTCAAGAACACATCGCTGCTGTTCACGTTGACTAGCTTGTGCAACGCGCGACCATAGAGACGGATCACTGCCCAAGAAGAGAAGAAGAAGAAAAAAAAAGCATTGGGCGCGCGCAGCCGGCACGAGAGAGGATAGGATAGGGTCTTAGTTTACGCCTACGTACCTCGTGATCTTGCGTAGGCGCGGCACGGCCGTCGGAGCCGGCGGCGAGAGTATCGGTGGCCGGCTTAGCCGC